ATTAGCATAACTAGAAAAGATCTTTTATGGCATTCCCCTACTCCTTCCTTTCTGCCACAAAACTTTCTCTGCCGTGTATTTTTTTTTGTTCGTGTTCTTGCTGATTTGTTTGGGTTGATTTTTTTGTATAAAACTTCTGAGTATTCATTTTGTTTCTTTTGGGGTTTGGGGTTTTTGGTTTTTTTTTGGTGAAATGTCCTGACAACATAAAATGGTTTGCTTTTATCTGGAGCTCGAAGTCTGAGGTGAGAGTCTGTCTCCTGTTTTTCTGCTTGCAGGGATTCCAATGCTGAAGATAGTATTTGCGGGTTATGAGCACCTGTCCTTAATTTCCGTCCCCTTACTCATCTATCATCCTGCTCAGATTCTTCTTGGCAGTCTGTTGGTACCAACAATAAAATCTTGGATGGTTTCTAGGCAAAAGGTAAGAATTGCTCGTTTTGATTTATAATGGAAACTGTGCTATGAGGAAAAAAATACCTAAGCACGTCTTAAACTCCTCAAGTTCCTTGGAGATCCCATGGTAGGGATTTTTCTGTTTCTTTACTTCCTTTATGACAGTGATAGTCACAGTAGTATCAAATTAAAAATGCTGAACTTTATCCCCGTTGCCTCTGAAAAGGTTCAAATCTTGAAGTTAGACCTCTATGGTTAGTTCAAATTATGAATTTGTTCAAATTATGAATTCAGGTTATGCCCAATAAGAATGGTTCCATCTTTAGCTAATAATCACAGCTTTTGATTTCCCTTATGGAGAAGTAACAAAGATCTGTCCATTGGCATGGGAGCTGGGGCAATCGGGTAAAATGAGGGCGCTTTCTGAATTGAATCGAAACAGGAAGAAAACTTTTTAACTTTTTTTTTTTCCTACTTGGGTCACCCTTTACAATAGCAAGAAGTCTACAGGAGTCTGGTGCATCCCATTTCATGCCAAAATTATGGCATGGGGTAGCTTGTAGGATTATAGACTATAACCTAGAGGTTTTTACATCAACATCACTGATTCAAAGTATGCTTATTTCAGTACAAATTGAAGCTATTGACATCTGACAGCCATTCTGGGATCTATATGAAATAATTGCAATGGTTTTAGCTGCTCAGAACGGTAGTAAACACCTCACAGAAAACTAGTCCATGCAGCTGATTTTAATGCTGTCTTAAATGTTCTGAGATAATAAGGATCAAGAAGCTGTGGCAACTGAAGCAGTCTTTGACAGCCATTTTAGGTGCAGGCTGAGACCTACTGTGGGAAGCCCAGCACCACCAGTACCCTGCATTCTCTGCTTGTCAGGGGAAAAATTTGTTTTGGTAACTTCCATGTTCCCAATTTTCAGCAAAATCGAACAGACTGCCATTTTACTAGCCTCACTCCACTAAAGTCACCTTGCTAACTTGAATACTAGAATTCCCCAAATCAGTGATTTTTATGTGACTTTTGGTTACCTGAAGTGTAAAAAGTAGGAAAACTCTCAGTTTTCAGGAACTGAGTCCAGGAATCAGACCTTCTTAAGATATATTTAGCATCTGAAAATGGAAATTTGAGAATCATATGTCATTTCTCCATCAGTCTGAAAGTCATGATTTTTTTTTTTTTTTAATCAGAAATTATCAGGACACATTACAGGTTATGTAAAGAAAATTCCATGCTCTTTCTGCAGAAAGATAGCCTAAAGTTGACACTACCGGTGACAGAACGATCCCTACAATGCTGGCTTCTCTTCAGCATCTAACTGCTCCCTGCTGCCCAGACCAGGAGTGGGGCTGGAGCTCATCCAGTGCTCCCTGATCCTCAGGGGCAGTAATGGCCTTTAGGGGCTGCTGTCAGTTGCTGCAAGTTAACGCAGCCTTTAAACAAGGCATCAGAAAAGTCAGCCAGTACTGGAGAGATTTACAGTTCACCAGCACTAGTTTCTTATTCATTAAGCATCAAATAAACCTCCTGTGCTAATCAGACTGTAATGCTACCATAGAGCCACTTTGGGGGATTGTTGTTCTGTTGCAGCAGTTTCTTCAGTTGGTCTTCTGTATTATTCACAAATGTTATTTTAATTACTCTTTGAAAAAAAATCAATGAGGTTGGGTCTGGTACAGTTATAATAAGTATAATAGAAGTGAATGTTGTGACTGGATAATGGTCTCCCGCTTTGAAAATAAACATGTCATCATCACCCTTGATGTTTATTTTCTATAAACACCTTGGCTTCATTTTGGCATCTCTCTTGCAGGGGGAGACGGTTATCCAGTCACAGTACTCAACTGCAGTGACATTCTTACTTAATTATGATAGTACATGTGATCTGGTTGTATGAAATTGAATTTAAATATTTAGAGGTTCATCTACACTAAGGTATTTCTCGTTTGTAAATATGGCAGCAGAATCTGCCAAACTACAAAGTTAAAAAATTGTTTCCCCGAACAAAATGTGGAATGAAGTCTCTCTCCAAAGTCTGTTGCTGAATAATATCCAAAAGACTAATCTCAAACAGCTAGATTTAAAAATAGTTAAATGCTGGTGTTTCTGAAAGATGGCGTTTCTGAGGGGAATAGAGCCTATTTATTTTTAAAGGTTTGGATTTTTTTAATGGTTTACATTTGTGCTGGAGCGTTTTTCAAGCAGTGCTTACAAGCTTTAAATGTACAATATTAAAGGTTAATATCTACTATAAGAAGACCCATCAGACATCTCTCAGACTGAAAATTGCTTGTTTAGCCAACCCTCCAGAAATGATAAGTCTCTCACTCAACAGGCAAATGCTGGTCTGTCAGGGCACTTCACCCAAAAGGCTAAGGAAAACAGAGGTTCCAAATTTCAGGAATTTGCAAATTTCACAATTTCCCCATCACTCCGTCTGATTCATCCTGCACAAGAAAGCACTGAGCTTTTTTGTTGCAGAGCACACCAACAACAGGCATCCTTCACAGTGACCACATCGGTATACAGGAGCAGCTGAAAACCTAACACTTTTTAACCCTGTCACATTTGCCTCCTAAGTTAGAGAGGCTGCTTCCTGCCAAACTAGAAGCACGATCACCTATCATTTGAGTTGAACTTCTGTCACACACTGAATAAATAGTTCAGCTACCATAGCTGGCCAGCCCTGCAGGGAACACAGAGCTGGACCCTGCCAGCAAATAAAGGCATGTGGTTTCTCTCCTTCTCAAAAAGAGTAGAGTAGAGCTACAAAGACGTCAGGTGTCCCCTGGCATAAGATCACTTCTGGACTGATGGACTTTGGCTTATGCTTACCTTTTCTCAGAAAGGAAGGTATAAACATCAGAGGTGCATGACATCCACCGCTGCAGCAGTGTCTATACTCTGAGCAGGCTTCGAGCCATGTGGAAGGAGGCCAGGGAACACAAAGGTGTTGGCAGAAATTTCCTTCAGAGTCTT